CCCTTTATACTAGAGTTAAGTAGTTACATCACCATATTACACTATTAGGTTATTCTGAATCTGAGTATATGCTTTCCTTTACCATTGTGTTGTGTATTTTCATTTGTTTCATGATACTAATGAGCATCCTTTTGTTTCAGCTTGAAGAACTCCTTGCAGCAGTTTTTGTAAGGCACGTTTAGTGGTGATGAATTCCCTCAGCTTTTGTTTATTAGAGAAAGTCTTTACCTCGCCTTCATGTCTAAAGAATAACTTTGCTGGGTAAAGTATTCTTGGTTGGCAGTTTCCTTCTTTCATCACTTTGAATATATCATCCCACTCACTTCTGGCCTTCAAAATCTCTGATGAGAAATCCACTGATAGCATTATAGGGGTTCCCTTGTGTGAGAGATTGTTTTTTTCTCTTGCTTCTTTTAAAATTCTCACTTGGTCTTTGATTTTAGACAGATAGATTATTATAATGTATCTCGGAGAAGATGGTTTTGAATTGAAATTTTGGGGTTATCTATTAGGTTCACCAACTTGGATATCCAAATCTCTCCCCATTTTGGGGAAGTTCTCAGCAGCTATTTCCTTAAATGTGTTTTCTACCATCCAATGATACATACAATTTCTCTTGATGGAGTCCTATAAATCTCATAAGCTTTCTTCATCTCCTCCCATTCTTTGTTCTTTTTGCAGCTCTGATTGAGCTTACTGATTCCTTCTTCAGTCTGGTGAAGTCTGCTCTTAAAGCTCTCTATTGAATTCCTCAGTTAAGTCATTGTATTGTTCATCTCCAAAATTTCTGTATGGTTCTTTAGGTTTTGTATCTCTTTCTTGAACTTCTCAGTTTGTTCCTTTATTGTTTTCCTGGTATCATTGTGTTGTTTATCTGTGTTTCTCAGTCTACCATGTGATCCATCCTGGATTATATTCCGTGTGTAGTTGAGAAGAGCGTTTTTGGGTGGAGTGTTCTGTATATGTTGGTTACGTCCAATTGACCTATATTGTTGTTCAACTCCTCTGTTTCCTTATTCATCTTCATTTTCATTGTTCTATCCATTATTGAAAGTGGGATATTGAGATCTCCTATTATTATTGTATTGTTGTCTATTTCTCCCGTCAATGTTGAGTTCATATATTTCAGTGTTCTGATGTTAGGTGCATATATATTTATAGTTGTTGTATCATCTTGGTGAATCATTAAAGGAAATGGATAATGAGAAAATATGGATGAAGAAAGGAGGAGTTCCTGGTGTAGAGATTGAGGATAGACGTGCATGAGGTCGTCCAAGTTCACCAAGGACTTACTGACAGCAAAGACTAGAATGCATGGTTTTTACTCACCACGAGTCTCTCATAGTACGACTGTCATCACATAACCCCCTGTGCAGTAAGCTGGGCCTCTGACACAGCTAGGGATGGCCCCCCTTGCTGATCCTCACTGACTGACTTGCTCACTCATGCACCTTCTGCCCTCCCTGGAGTCTGAGAGAGGACAATCTATTCTGCCTGCAGAGTTCAAGTTCATATTTGTAAACAAAAACTTGAGGCCCCTGGTGTGCTGCACACGTGGAATTTTGCTCAGGGCCCCACCAACACAGCTGCATCAAGACCAGGCTCACACATCAGCAAATCTCTGAGATGTGCAGCAATTGAGACTTCATTCTCTACCACTGTTTTACTTGCCTATTGCAGCCAAATGCCTATTTGCATGCCTATTGCATGACAAATGACTACAAATTGAGTGGCTGAAAAAGAACACAAGTTTATTACCTTACACTCCCGGAGAATAGAAGTCAGACACAGGGATCCCTGGTCTAAAATCAAAGGGTCATCAGACCAATGTTCCATTCTGGAGGCTCTAGGGAGATTCCATTTCCTTGTCCCTCCAGTTCTAGAAGATGCCTGCATTCCTTAGCTCATGGTCACCTTCATCGGTCTTCCCAGCCGGTCAGAGTGGATCAAGTCCTTCTCATATCACATCACTCTGATCCACACTTCTGCCTCCCTCTTCTACATTTAAGGTCACATGTGACCATCTAGAGCCTGAATGGGTAATCCAGAAAAATCTCCCCACCTCAAGTCAGCTGAGTAGCAACTGTTATCGCATCTGCAACCTCACAACCCGTTGCCATGCAAAGTAACATATTAGCTGATTCCAGGAATTAGAGTGAGAGCATCCTTAGGGACCACTACTCTGCTCACCACAGCCAGCTCCAGCTCCAGTGCTCACCTCCTCCTACCTCCCTTGAGTGAGTCAACCCACCCCAAATATCTGGAGGGAGTGGCTGGCGGGTTGTGGTGATGGCACTGCTGGTGGTACTGGTGGTGGTAGACAGGAAGCATCTGCCCAGGAGTTGAACAGGTAGGAGAACGAGGCAGGAAGGGGTCTAGGGCTCTCGAGACAGCTGCCACTGCCTCCCTGGCTGGCGAGGAGGCTTGAGGGGAAAGGCCAAATGCGAGCACTGGATTAGGGGAAAGGTCCGATCTCCTCTTTTCCCTGGACCCAGAGGTATTTGGTTACTCTATGCCTCAGTATCTGCCACTTACTTCCCCTGGAACTGGCAGGCACCAAGCCACGGTCTGTGACGTACATATTTACAGCAATATGATTGTGCCGTAGTTGGACTGAATATGGCAGAGAGAGATTGTGCGCTCAGAGCAGGGAAGGGAGGCTTGGCAATACTAGTCACCAAGGGTTGTGTTCACGCGCTCCCACGTCCCCTTCCACGCTCTTCTCCCCTTCCTCACCGTGGCCACCGTGGCCCCGTGCCTCCCCGGGCAGTGCTTGTGCTGGACTGCCCCCAAAGCACCACATGCCTGCAGGTCTCATGGCCAGAAATCCCAGCTGGAAAGTCTCTGCCAAACTTATTCATTCAGACAGCATCGTGCTGTGTTGCCTCGCCAAGAAATCACCTTTCGGTGAGGGCCAAAGCCAGAGCCTAAGCCTCAGTCAAGGCCACCTTCTCAATTGAGGGCTTTGAAGTGGAAAGATTAAGCCCCAGGAATGTTCCTTTCAGGCCCAGAGGTCTGGGGTTGTCCCATCCTCTGCTTGATGGTCTGTCAACCTGAGTTCACACCCCGGGGCCGGGAGGAGACAGGGTGAGAATATGGGGCCTTCATGGTGGAACCAGGTTCCCCCGGTTTTCCAGGGGCAGTTACTCTTTTCTACTCATCGTCCCCTGTGCCTATCCTGCTCTGTCCCGGTTAGCTCACCTTGGGGCAGTCTCCTCCGTCAGCTCTCTGCTTCTAAGATGTGGCATGTACCCACTACTCTGAGCCCCCCATCCTTCCCCTTCTCATTCCATCGACGGGCACAGGATTTGTCAGACATCGTGGGATCGCAGAGTAGGATCCAGACCCTCTTCCAGAGACTCCAACATTGTAAGCCTCTGGACACACTGTCGTGGAGTTTGGTAACTTCCATGTCAATCCTCTCCCATGTTACAGGAATGTTTTAGGAACACCCCTTGGAAAAAGCAGATCCCACGCAGACTTTTGCTCATTTGATCCCTTACAGGTTCTTGACCACAGTCTCAACTCCCCTTACTCATGAATCACATCTTTCTCGCTCAAGGGAGATTATCCACGATTAATTTTATTCACACACAGACACACACACACACACCCACACAGGCCAATGTTGAATGTTCTATCGACCACAGTCTCATTTTGTGTATTAAAAGCTCAGTCTCTCAGGAAAGGTCTCTGGCAGAACCCACCAACACGCCACCCAGAATCTGTCCCTCTGAGTCTCATGCCGGCACAGCCCTGGGTCCGGGCTGAGGGAAGGAAGTGATCCCCGACCTTAGGGGAGGGGGAATGCAACCTAGAGATCAGACTACATCTTGTGTAACCTATAGAGGCAGTCTGGGAGACTGAGCTGGGACCCAGAAACACCATTTCCAGCAAAATGTGTGTCATGCAGGTGGTCCAACAGTATTTGAAGGGGAGCGTGCAAGAACATTGAGACCTACCAACCACACTTCCTGTAGAAACTGCCGGGCCACTTTCCAATCCAGGCTATGGAAACGTACAGGCTGGAGGAGATCCGGTGAGCTGGCTAGGACAGGAAGGACGTGAAAGCTCCCATGGCTAGGCCATCCACATCTAGCAGCTGGCGGGCAGTTTCCTCCAGGTTGGCCCCACAACAGACTCATTGCCCAGACAGTGGCCCAGAGAGTAACCTGCGGTTTTCTTCCGTGTCCCCTGTACCTTCCCTCTCGGTCCACAACCCACCAACCCACGGGGCTGACTTCTGCCTCCACCCCTCTACTGAAACCAAGGAGGGAGAACTGGCAGGACTGGTAAGCGAGTGTCAAAGGTGAGGGCTAAAGTAGAGAGTAGGATGAAGCGCAGGCTCCAGGGTCAGTTGTCAGTGTGCAGGGTGGCACCAGAGGGAGGTAGGGACCACCAGAGGGAGGACTGGGCCTGGGAAGGGGGAAGATGAGCTCAAATGTGCTCTTTAGCATCCGTTGAGGTACAGCTGCAAGGGAGGAAACTGACAGGCAGAAAGCCACGGGAGATATCAGGGTGCCCAGACAGCAAAACACGGTGGTCGGGAGAAGCATGACCGTGATCCCAGTGAGGGAAGGGAAGAGGGAATGGAGCTCTGCAAGGGGGTCATGGAATCCTGCTGAGCGGGAGGGGGAAGAGCAGTGAGGAATGGGAACATTGAGACCCCAAAAGAGGAGGGGTTTCAGAGAACTCCAGGAGAACCTGCAGGGGAAAGGGAGGAAGCGCCAATGTGGCCGGGCAGCGCTCACACAGCACCCAGACCCCAGACCCCAGACCCCAGACCCCAGGCCCTCTGGTGGCCTGACTGCAGGGTTCCTATCAGAGGCTGGCCCAGACTCCCCACAGGGAGAAGGCCCACCACAGAATGCCAGAGGTCCTCTTCTGGAAAAGACTCTGAAATACTCAGTTCCCCAGCCCACTCCGCCCCTCCCCTCTGCCCTCCCACCCACCCAAGAGAGGACAGACCATGGAAGATGAGAGGTACTTTAATTTGAAACTGCCGTGAACTGGGCTGGGGAGGGGGCAAAGAAAGGGGAGAGGAAGCCCTGGCTGAGGTACAACAGGAGGGAACCAGCTTGGCCACAGCTCCCAGGCTCCAAAGGTACCAGCTACTTCTCTTGTAGGAAGATGCTGGCTCAACCTGTGAAACAGAGCAGGGCCAGGGAAGAGCCTCAAGCCAGGTCCCGCCCACAGCCCTCCTGAACAGCCACGACTGTGGGAAGGGCTATGGGGTGTGTAACACTCACTTGAAAGGCTCTGGAACTTGTCAACCAGGGACTGCATGGCGGCTGAAACAGAGAGAGGCATGAGCAGGACCTCCACACATGGTGATCTAGAAGCCCATGCCCATGTCACTGTGGGGAACCGCCTAGCCCTGCAACCTGAAGCCCCCTCCAGCCCCTATCAAAAGAGACCCGGGCCTGACTCCCTCACCCACCACCTGAATTACACGTGGAAATGTGTTCTCAACAGGAAGGAAATATGCCAGTGGGTCTCAAGCTTTGGGGCATATCGGGACCATTCAGAAGTTGTCAAACAAACAACCTAACAAGCAGCTCACAAGCCACACCAAGCAGCAGTTAAAGGGACAATCAAGGAGGGATCTCTGGGCTTCCTAAGAGAAGGAGATCTCCAGGACTCGTTCTCATTGACAGAGTGTGCATGCAGTTCAGACAATTCTTTCCTATTCGCACACGCACCCGGTGTACCTGACAGCAGGGTCCAGGGCTAGGCCTGCTGGGTTCTCCTCCCCACAGGAACGTTGGTCCCTGTGAGCCCACCTGTCCCTGTAGCCCACCCCCACCCCAAGGCCCTGGGTTCTGCACTAAGACACTGCAGTTGGTCCCAGGGCCTCTGCCCTGGCTCCAGTATCAATCAGAGGTTCCTCATACCAAGTTGCTCTTTCAGGTCGTCTACTTCTCTCTGTAGCATGAGACACTAGGCCAGTAGACACCAGACAAAGAGAAATTATTAGTATCTTCTGGCTTCCTCGCTCCTCCACCGGCCCACTCCCCCGACCCGTACCTCCCAAAGCCCAGTGGCTAAACTGTCAGGGGCTCCTCAGTGGAAAGGAGGTGCCAGCCCTCCCTTGGGTGATGGGAGGGGGATGGAGGACACATATGTCAGTTACCATCGACAAGGACCCCACCATCTACTTTGGGCCTGCATTTCTCGGAGCCAGAGAAACAATACCCGACGACAGCCCTGAGCTCCAGGTGGTTGCTGCTGCCTTTTGGGTCTTGGAGGATGGTGAAGTGGCTCCTGGTCACCTGAGAGGGAAAGAACAGGAAATCCAGCGTCCAAGGCTCCCAGGGAAGTGGAAAGTGAGGCAGCACCACCCTCTGGTGGCATCAACTTGCCCCTGCTCTGCCTTGCACTTCTAAGTTTCTCTTGGACCCAGCCTCCCCTGTTCTATTCCCCAGGGGCAGCCCCCACACCACTGTGGACCCCAGGACTGTGGCTCTGGGTTGGACTCTCCCTCAGCCACAGCCACAGCCACAGCCTGGCCCCGGGATGAGCCTGTGGCTGAAGGGAACTCAACAGAAAAGGCTCTGTCCTGCTGAGACTCTGTGTCCGCAGTTGCAGTTTGGGGCAGTGCTAAGGAATCGCCCCTGCCACGCAAACCCCATGCCGAGTGATGTGGCTTAAGGCCAGCCCCGTCCTACCCTGTTTCCCGTGGGAGAAGCTGCCTGGGTAGGCAGGGAGGCCTGGGAGCAAGGCTGCGTGCCCAGCAGACACAGATCCCCAGGACAGACAGAGCCAGAGGTTTCCATCCTTGCCCCTCTCCCCTACTCCTGTCACACCCACGAGACTCACCGGAGGCTGCGGGCCCTCTGGGCATGACATCTCCCTGGCTCAGGGCCAAGGGCTGTGACTTTCCCCGAACTTGGCAGGCTCCGTTGTTGAGGTCGCCACGGCTGCCTTCTCCACGGTGCTTGCACGGACAACATGGCCCTGGCCTGTGTGCTGGGAGCTAAAGCAACCATTTCTCACTGATCTGGACCGGGGATGCGTCTGTGTGTGTGTGTGCCCTTGTGTGTTTACAGGCTGGGGTGGGCCAGGGAAAAGGGAAGGGAATTCAGAGGCTGATCTCCTCAGCACTTTCTCCCTCAGTCAGCCCCAGGCCAGGAGGCAGAGGTGAGCCAGGGAGAGGAGTGGAGCACTGAGAAAGTGCAGGACCCCTGCAGAGAAGGCTTGGGGAACAGCTTGGCAGTAGGAATCGCGAAGCCCACGTGTCTGAACGCTGAAGCTTTGCGGCCCAAATTTTAAGGAGTGCCCCGATCCCAATCAGCTACCAGTCCTCCCTTCCATCCCAGCCCCTCTCTGGAGGAGGGGGCAGGAAATGTGCCAAGGGTGAAGAATGGTGCCCGGCACACACTAAGTGCTAGCTTAAGGTGTGCCCCGCCTAGAATGACCCCCATCTGGCATCCTAATGACCGAGGACCCCAGTGAGCAGCCCCGTGGGATCGACAGAGGGAGCACTGGTAAAGAAGTGTGTGGCGGCGGTGGGGAGAGGCAGGGAAAGAGGAGGAGAGGGCCTACTCACTTGTCCCTGTGGGGCTGGGTCTCTGTTTGGGTCATTATCTTCTCCCGCCGCCACCACCAGCTCGGACTCCCTTGTCCTCCTGGCCACTGATTTCTTCCCAGTGCCGGTGTGCTTGGACTGCTTGGTTCCCGCACGGGCCAAGGAATACTTCTTGGACCTCCCAAGCAGCGGAACACCACAGATTGGAGGGAATGTGGCTGGATCCAGGCGAGCTGCCGAGACTCTCTGCCCCCAGGCAGGAAAGATTCTCCCCTGGGCAACTTGTGAGGCATCCCCTAGGGATTCCTTCTCTTGGGTTGCCTTCCTCGGAGGAGTGGCCCAGGCCACGCCGCCTCCAGCAGCACCAGCTTCCGGGTAGCTGGGCCTGCTCCCCACCTTGCCCCAGACCACACTTTGCATTTTCTTGGAGGAAGAGAAGTCCAGCTCTCCAACAGCCTGCCTTTGCACAGCCAAGGTGAATGCTCGGGCATTGGAGGACGGGAAAGGGCCTGGCACATGGGGGAAATTCTCCCTGGCATGGAAACTGCAGTGTCTGGGTGTGTCCCCGGGATCCTCTGGGCTGCTGGGCTTGGCTTGGCCTCCTTCTTTGGGGTAAAGGGTCAGCCTCATCAGCTGTGTCTCACTGAACTCGTCTGATGACTTGGAGTCAGAAGGCAGCCTGAGCGGGCCTTCCGCGGAGGGCCGCAGGCGACCCGCAGTGCCCATCATCCTGCTCCTGCTGCCCCTTTTAGGGTTCCCCCAGGCCCGGCCTCCCTCTGGCCCACCGAGATGGAGAGGGGCGGCAGGAGCCGGCTGCGACTGCACACAGCTAAGGGCAGGCGCGCCTCGGCCGCTGGCACCTGCCTCGAGGCCCGCGCCGCTCTCCGGGGACGGGTTTCTCCAGACGCTCCGGACAGCCCACTCGGCCAGCTGCTGCACCACGTTCACCGCGGACTGGTGAGCCAGGCGGGACGCGGAGTCCACAGCGTCCCCCTTGTCATCGGCCAGGGAACTACGGCGGCCTTGGCGGCCCCAGAGCACCGGCCCTCCCGCTTCCATCACCTGCTGCTCGGACTCCAAGCCCTCGGGGTCTGGGAACCCGCCCTCGCCCTCAGCCCTCCGCGGCGCCCCCAAATCACGGCCTAGACCGGGTGCCCGCGGGGCGCGGGGCTCGGCTGGGCGGACGCCGGCCCGCTCCCCTCCCTCCGGGCTGAAACCCGCCCCCGAAACAGACACCTCGTCGGGGGAGCTCATGTCGTGAGTCTGGGCAGCCCCGGGTCGCATCAGGGGGACACGATCGCCCTGGTCGCGGCGGGACGGGCGGGCGGCGCGCCTCAGCAGCGGCGAGGCCTTCGGAGGACGCCGTCCCTCCCCAGAGGCGCCGCACGAGATCGCCTCAAACAACGCGGCTTGCCGCGCGCCTTCAGCGCGACGGCGACGCCTGCGCCGCGCCCTTCTCATTGGTCCGCCCCCCGCCAACCAGCGCGCCCCTTGTGGGCCCGCCCCTCGAGGCCCCAACCAATCGGGTGCAGGGCGTCTGGTTTCCTCCTAAGCCGGTCGCTGGACCCCCAGTTGGAAGCCCGTCCCGTGCCTGAGTCTGGCTGTCGGGGCTCTCGTCCCACCTCTTCCCAGTATCCGCCTCCCCGCGCCACAACCTACCTTCCAACTGCAGCCGCAGGTCTGAGCCCCCGTTTCCCGGGTGCAGAGGGGGGCAGTGCAACTACCTGTCTTCGGGTGCTGGCGGGTGGATTGGGGATTGTGAGGAGAAACTTCAGTACCCTGGTGAAACACCTAGCGCAGAAGGGGTTTGCCAGCCTCTATTCCACAACGAGACTTAGGACCCCATAGGAAAATGGGCACAGGCGGCCCGCCGTCAACCATCAGGGGCCGGCATACTGTTTCCGTAAAGAGAGCAAATGTCGTATTTAAGGCTGCACGGTCTCTGTCGCACCTGCTAGATTACGATCCGTGATCAAATGGGGCTGTGTTGTGTGCTCTGGGGACTCTATTGGCAAGCTGGTTTGATGGGCAGGCTGGGGTTTGTCCCCGTCCCTCAGCCCCTTCTCCACTCCGAGTCAGTTCAAACAAGGGGGAATCCCAATGGATAGTGCTCACCCCAAAAGACACTCACCATCACTGGTCCTAGAGATGTGAAATAAATACACAAATCTTTTTTCACCCGCCCAGTTTGCAACTATCCAAGAGCTTCACCATTCCAAGGGTGGAAGACGTCATGAGCAAACCCCTGCTTTTGACCACTGCTGGGAATTCTGCCATTTGTTTATAGTTTCAAAAAACAAACCTTTATTGAATGTTCACCACGTGCTAGGTACTGTTCTAAGACCTGGGACTATATCAGTCAACAAGACAAAGTTCCTGCTCTAAAGGAGGTTACATTTTTGTCATAGGCTTATCAGCAGTATTTTCCAAATCTTCAAATATGTTCATTCCTTTGTTCTTGGAGATTGCTTTCTGAGATCCTGCTCCAACCTTATTGGTTGCTTAAGGGTGCTGCATTGATCTAGAACATTCCTTTTCCAAGACTGTAAGTGGGATCTTCTTTTTATGGAACACACTTTCTTCAGTTTACTACAATGTTTTTGATGAGACACATCTTCCAGGAACTTTCTGAGAAGAGGTATATGGGAGATGATTTCTTTTGAAACTTTGCATGAGCAGTTTGTCTTTATCTAAGACTTAATCGATAACTTGATATATAATTTCAGGCTGGAAATTTTCACTAAGGATTTTAAAGGCATTGATCCACTGTTTTTTACCTTTCAATGTCACTTTTGAGAAATCTGGCATTATTTTGAATGCTATTATGTTTCCAAGTCTTTTATATGTGACCTATTAAAAGTTTTTTTAATATATTTGAAATTATTGTAGTAAAATGATCTTTTTTTGCTTTTCAGTACCATGAATTCTAACACACGGATAAATTCATGTAACCATCACCACAGTCAGGATACAAAACAATTTCATTACCCCCCAAATCTCCCTCATTCTGCCCCTTTGTAGTCAAACTACCTCCCCCATCTGAACCTCTGAGAACCAGTGATCTCTTTCCCTTCCCTATAGTTTTACCTTTTCCAGAATATTATACAAACGTACTCATACAGTATGTAACTTTTTAAGACTGGCTTCTTTCATTTAGCATAATGCATTTGTGATTCATCCAAGTTGTGTATATATCAATTGTACCTTCATTTTTATTTCTAAGTAATGTTCTAATGCATGGATGTAGCAGAGCTTGTTTATTCATTTATCTATTGAAGGGCATCTTGATTGCTTTCAGTTTTTAGTGATTATAAATAGGATTGCTATGAACATTCTTGCATTCATGTATTTTTTTAAACATAAGTTTTCATTTATCTAGAGCAAGCACCCAGGAATTGGATTGTTGGGTCTTATGGTAATTGTATGTTCACCTTTATAAGAAATTGGCAAACTGTTTTCCAGAGTGACTGTACCATTCTGCATTCCCTCTATCAGTGTATGAGTGCACCATTTCCTTCAGATTTTCAGTAGCACTTGGTATTGTCAGTGTTTTCTTTCAGCTATTCTAATTGGTGTGTAGTGGTATCTCATTGTGGTTTTTGTGTTTGTATGTGTGTGAGGAAGATCAGCCCTGAGCTAACATCTGTGGTAATCGTCCTCTTTTTTGCTGAGGAAGACCGGCTCTGAGCTAACATCTATTGCCAATCCTCCTCCTTTTTTTCCCCCCGAAGCCCTAGTAGATAGTTGTATGTCATAGTTGCACATCCTTCTAGTTGCTGTATGTGGGACGTGGCCTCAGCATGGCCAGAGTAGCGGTGTGTCGGTGTGCACCCGGGCTCCGAACCCAGGCCACCAGTATCAGAGCGTGCGCACTTAACCACTAAGCCACGGGGCCAGCTCCACATTGTGGTTTTAATTTGCCTTTTCCTAATGGCTGATGATGTTGAACATCTTTTCATGTGCGTATTTGCCATCCTTAGATCCTCTTTGGTGAAGCGTCTGTTTAAGTTCTTTGCCCATTTTTCCATTGAGCTGTTCATTTTCTTATTTTTGTGTTTTGAGATTTTTTGTATATTCTGTATATTCTGCATCTTATTTGGATGTGTAATTTACAAATATTTCCTTACAATATATATTTGTCTTTTTATTCTCTGAACAGGGTCTTTCTCAGAATAAAAGTTTTTAATTTTGATGAAATCAATTTAACACTTTTTTTCCTTATGATTTCTTATAGTTCATGCTTTTGGTGTTGTCTAAAGCTTCTTCATCTATTTCCAGGTCATGAAGACTTTCTCCTACGTTTTCTTCTAAACGTAATATAGCTTTATATTTTACATTTAGATATATGACATATTTTGACTTAAGTTTTATATCAGGTGTGAGTTATAAGTTCAAATTATTATTATTATTTTTGCATATGGATACCTAAATGTTGCAGTGCCATTTTTGAAAAGACTATGCCTTATCCAAGGTATTTCTTTTTCACATATGTCAAAAATCAGTTGGCAGTACTATTTCTGGAATCTCTCTTCTGTTCTACTGATTTATATGTCTACGTCTTCACTAATATCACATTGTCTTAATTATTGTAGCTTTATAGTATGTTTTAAAAGCATGTAGTGTGATTCCTCCAATTATGTTCTTTTAAAAATTGTTTTAGTGATTCTAGTTACTTTGCCTTTCTATATAAATTTTAGAATCATCTTGTCTATATCTACAAAAAATCTTGCTGCTATTTTAATTGTATTATATTAAATCTATAGATTAGTTTGAGAAGAATTGATATCTTTACTTTGTTGGTTATGCCAATCCATTAGCATGGTATGTCTCTCCATTTTAATTAGGTCTTCTTGGATATCTTTCATCAGCATTTTGTGGTTCTCAGAATGTAGATCTTATATATAATTTGTTAGATTTGTCCCTAAATATTTCATGTTTTGGAAATATTGTAAATTATATTCATTTTTAAATTTTTGTTTTCCACTTGTACATTTATTGTATGTGGAAGTACAATTGATTTTTGTGTATTGATGCTGTATCCTGTGATCTTACTGAACTCATTTTTTGTTATAGAATTTTTTATAGATTTCATAGGATTTTCTATGTAGATAATCATGTTGCCTATGAATACAGACACTTTTATTTCTTCCTTTTCTATTAGAATGCCTTTTTAAAATTTTTTTTGAATTATTACACTAGCTAGGATTTCTAGTGTAATGTTGAATAGGAGTGGTAAGTATGGGCGTCCTTGCCTTGTTCTAGTTCTTAGGGGGAAAGCATTCAGTTTTTCACTATTAAGTATGATATTAGCTGTAGGTTTTTTGTAGATGCCCTTTATCAGATTGAGGAAGTTCTTTTCTATTCATAGTTTGCTGAGAGTTTTTATCTTGAGTGGATGCCAAAGGCTTTTTCTTCATCAATTGTCATGATAATGTGATTTTTCTTTTATAAACAGTTAATATAATGGATTTAATTGATTATTTTACAAATATTGAGCAAGCCTTGCATTGCTGGGATAAATTACACTTATTTGAGATATATTTTTCTTTATATACATTGTTGGATTTGATTTGCTAATATTTTGTTGAGGATTTTTGTGTCTATGCTGATGAGAGTTATTAGTCTGTAGTTTCTTGCTTGCTTCTTTTTTTATTGTCTTTGCTTGGTTTTGGTATCAGGGTAATGCTGGCCTCATAATAGGAGATGGGAACTGTTCTCTCCTGTTCTATTTTTGGGAGGATATTTTATAAAATTTATTTTAATTCTTTAAATGTATGGTAAAATTCACCAGTAAAACCATCTGGGCCTGTGGTTTTCTTTTTTTGGAAGGTATTTAACTATGAATTCAAGTTCTTTATAGGAGTATTCATGTTATCTATTTGATATTTGATGAGTTTTAGTAAGGTGAGATTTTCAAGATGATCTATTTCTTCTAAGTTGTTGAATTTATGTGCATTGAGTTATCTGTAGTACCGTATTTTTTTCCTATTTGATCAATATCAGTATATTTTCTGTATTCCTGGGATTTGGAAATATCCCAGTAAGGTGATTTTTTTGTGATGTGTATTTTGCTGTGTACTTAGTATATTCTTTCAGTCTCAAGATTTTGTGTGCTTCAATTCCAGGAAATTTTCTTGTCTACTTAGTCAATTCAAGCTGCTATAACAGAATGCCATAGACTGGGTGGCTTATAAATGAAACAAATTTATTTCTCACTGCTCTGGAGGCTAGAAAGTCCGAGATCAAGGCACCAGCAGATTTGGTATCTGGT